GAGCTCTATGGCTCTGGCCAGTGTCCATAGCCATCATAACAAACTAAGGGCTTGGTGGCAGGCATGAATGCCCAGGATGGTGGGGAGTATGATAAGCTTAAGAAAAGAAACATTCTGTACTTTTCACCAAGTAACTGTAAATGGTACTCTCTGTTTCCCCCAGCTTTTGAATCCTGGGCCAATAGGACCTCTTGTTAAGATGGGGCGTGGGCTGGGTCGTGGGCCCGCACTTGTGAGGCCAAGGGCAGCGCGCGATCATGAGTCAGGAGTCTCGAGACCCAGCCTGACCAACACCACAGTTAACATCATAATCAATGGGAAAAAAAATTAAAGCTTTTCCGATAAGATCTGGTACAAGGCAAGGATGCCCACCCTTGCTGCTTCTATTCAGCGTGGTACTGGAAATACTAGCAAGAGCAATTAGAAAAGAAAAATAAATAAAAGGCATTTAAATCAGAAAGGAAAAACTCAAATGATCTCTATAGATGTCATGATCCTATATTTAGTAAATCCCAAAGACTCCACCAAAAAAAAAAAAAAAAAGTTAGAACTAAAAAACAAACTTGGTAAAGTTAAAGGATACAAAATCAGTTGCATTTATGTGCACAAATAACAACCTAGGTAAAAAGAAATCAAGGAAACAATTGTATTTATGGAAGCATCAAAACATAGTTAGGAATAAGTTTAACCATGGAAGTAAAAGACATGTACACTGAAAATTATGAAACATTGATAAAAGAAATAGAAGACATAAATACATGGAAAGATAACCCATATTCATGAGTCTGAAAACTTGATGTTGTTAAAATTTCCATATTACCTAAAGGAATATGCAGATTCAATGCCATCCTTATCAAAATCCCAATGGCATTCTTCACAGAAATAAAAAAAATCCTGAAATTTGTACGGAACCACAAAAAAAACTAAATAATAACAGCAATTTTGAGAAAGGAAAATGACATTGGAGTTATCACACTTCCTGAGTTAAATTAGATTGCAAAGCTATAACAATCAAAACACTATGATACTGGCATAAAATCAGACCACAGACCAGTGGAACAAAAGAGAGAGCCCCAAAATAAATCAAAATATGTATATATATATATACAGTAAACTAATTTTTGACAATGGCACCGAGAAGACAAAATGGGAAAAGGATAATCTCTTCAATAAATCATACTGGTGAAACTGGATTTGCATGTGCAAAAGAATAAAACTGGGCCCTTGTACCATACACAAAAATCAACTCAAAATGGATACAAGACCTAAATGTAAAATCTGAAACCATAAAACTCCAAGGAGAAAACACAGGAGAACAGGTCCTTGACATTGCCCTTGGCAATAATTTTTGAATATCACACCAAAAGGCTACAAAAGCAAAAATACATAAATGGGAATACATCAAACTGAAAAGCTTCTGCACAGCAAAAGAAAACAATCAACAAAATGAAAAAATAACCTATAGATTGGAAAAATAATTGCAAGACAGATATCTGATAAGGTTTAATATCCAAAATTTATAAAAAGTTCACACAGCTCAATAGCAAAAACATACAACCCAATTAAAAAATGGGCAAATTATCTGAATAGTTATTTCTCCAAAGAAGACATAAAAATGATTCACAGGTTAATGAAAAGATGCTCAATGTCACTAATCATCAGGGAAATGCAAATCAAAACCATTATGAGTTATCACCTGACACCAGTAAGTGGAGGTTCCTAAAGAAATTAAAGTTAGAAGTACCATAAGATGCAGCAATTCCTCCTCTGGGTCTGCATCCAAAGGAAAGGAAATCAGCACTCATAGAGATATCTTCACTGCCATGTTCATTCCAGCATTCTTCTCAATATCTAAGATAAGGAAACAACCTAAATGTTTATTGGCAGAAAAATGGATAAAGAAACTGTGATATATATGTGCAAAGGAATATCCTTTAGCCTCAAAAAAAGGAGATCCTGCCATTTGCTACAACAGGGATGGAATTGCAAGACATTATGCTAAGGAAAATATGCCAGATGCAGAAGGAAAAAGATTCCATAATCTCACTCATATGTAAAGTCTTTTAGACAAATTCAAATATGTAGAAATAGAGAATTACACAGTGGTTACCAGGGGCAGTATGGCAGGAAGGAACTGGGGAGAAGTAGGTCAAGGGTTACAAAGTAGCAGATAAAGAGGGTAAACAAGTCTAGAGATCTAATGTAAAACATGAGGACTGCCAATACTAATAGTGTCTTGTATTCAGGATTTTTGCTAAATGAGTTGACTGTAGATACTTCAGCCCCACACACAAAACATGGGTACATTAATTTGCTTCACTATATTAACCATTTATATATATATATATATATGTATCTTTTAACATCATGATGCAAACCTTAGATATACACAATTAAGTGTATTTTAAAAATCCATCATGATGTGCACCTTATATACATAAAATAATGAAAATCAAATTTAAAAAATGAGATTCTCCCCCCTCCCACAAAAAGAAAGGCTTTGGAAGGACTTGAATATAAGATGGCAGAATAATTTGGTAATAAATGCCCTCAACTGAGATCTGGGATATCTGTTGACTGAGATGCCAGGTGCCACATTGCATGGTATGGCATGAGGCCAGAGCCACGGGGCAGGCATTGTAGGATATGTACCAATGTCCAGTCTCCTCCACGGTGACTCTCTCTGTGCTCAGACCATCAGGAACTATTTTCTGTTGCTCTTTTGGTGTCTCTGTAAATCCTATTTTATCTCCCCAAAATTTCCTCCTCTCCTCTGCTTTAAATGCAATGTCCTTTGAGGCCCAGCTCACAGGCCACATCAGCTATGCAGCAGCACAGCCCTGGAGGAACGAGCCCAGAGCCTGGCTTCTTCAATCTTCTCATCCTGACCTCTCTAATCGCTGCCACCCTTCATCTTTGATCCCATTGGTGGGCTTGTGCAAATGTGCAGGATGGAACCTGAGTTCCAGCCTCTTATGTTGACAATCACAGTAGTTACTTACCAGCATCCTATGTCTGGGCCCTCTTCCCCTCAGAGGCAGGTTGCCTGGAAAGAACAGAAAGAACAAAGGAATCCATTTCTGTCTTTCTCCGAGGGACTGATTGGAGCATCTCCAAAGATGGGGACTACGAAATGCGGTTTGCATCACAGCCCACAGCAAACACAAAACTGCATTTTTGGAAACAGAAAAATTAAAAAAAAAAAAACCAAAACGGGGCCCGTTTTTTGAGGTTTTGCGGTTCCAACCAACCCCGTTTTTTGGGAGTTGCCTTAAAAGACACACAGAGAATTGAAGAGCTCTCTAGTAGTTGAAGAGAAGAAGGCCATGTGATCTTAGCATAATCTCCCATGAGTTTCAAGTCAGGGTCTGTCTCTAAGTTGGCTTGAATGCTCACACCCAGCTAGAAGAGACACAGGTCAACATGAAAGCAAAGCTCACATCTGCGTCCGGTGGTGGATTGGCCATGTGGCTCCACTTCCAGAGGAGGATATCTGATCAGCCTCTGGGGCTTCATCCCCTCAGCCCCTGGCAGGTGTTGCAGCTGTTCCTCTCCTCAGGCTGCAGGTGAACGTGTGGGTGGCCACGCTTTGTTAAGTGGCATGGCCATCGAGAGTCATCGGCTCTGTTGAGGCATCATTGTCCTTTCTGCTGGAAAAGCTGAGTCTTCCTGAACCTTGAAGACAAACCACAAGCTCATTGGTTGTTGTTTGTATACATGTGTGACAGAAGAAAAAACAATTTCTCTTGAGACAGGTGTTCAGGGCCCCCCTCATCCTCTTGCCCAGAAGGTGCCCCTTTTAGCGCAGGATGCCCACTGTCTGTGAGTGGAGCAGGGGCAGATGCTATGTGCCTGGGGACAGGCCACTTCATCTTTATGGGCCTCGATCTCCTCACCCGCGATGAGATCTGGATCACACTTCTGCTGAGTGACCGCTACCAGGTAGCCACCGGCCCATGTTTCAGTGGAAAGGAGAACAGGAGCCCAAAGATGAGAAAAGACACAGCCCTACTGTCAAGAAGCTCACTGCTAGGAAATGAGATGCCCTTTCCTTAGTTCCTGATCAAAATTCCCATTTCAGGCCAATAACCAGGATGGTTACTGGGGTGATGCTGCAGTTAGCAAGACGTGCATCCCACCCTCTGGAAATTCATGGCACCAGAAGTTGTCACAGAGTGAGTTGGGGGCAAAATGACGCTAAATGGTGCATCTTTAACCTTATGTCACAGATGTCAGCAAAATTAGTCCAAGAAGAAAAGGCAATTAATACTAATTAATACTGTTTTTACACATTATTTTGAAAGGTATTTTGATTATGCAAATAACCCACATTACATACAGAATAATTATGAAATACAGGTAAAAGGAAAATGAAAATTACAAAATTACGGATACCTAGAAATATGTGCCTCTGACTGTGGCTCTGTCTCTCCATCTTCATTTGCTCAAAAGTAAAATAATGACAGCTTTGCTGCCCTGCAACCTGCTTAGGACTTAAATGAATTTTCCATATTTATATAAATGATGAAATCCCAGCACTGTTGTTTTAATGAATGCAGAGTGATTCAGTTCAGATGTACCATGATTTGATTATCCTAAAGAAATTACAATAACCATCTTTATATCTATATATCTGTACACATCCTTATTTATTTAGAATGAATTCTCAGAAACCGAATTGCTGAAGAAAGGCACATTTTATACATACTGCAAAATGGCTAAGTCTTTTGGGTAATCTACTTCATGGATAATAAACTGCAATATGGTATACCAAACCTTACTTCTTCCCAGCACGTCACAGATCTGCCCCCACAAGTTACCATTCTGACTTCAAATGACACACTTGAACAAACTCACGTGCCTGATGTTGACTCACCTATGTTATTGCACCATAAAGATGTGGAGCGCATCATGTTTTCACACAAATTAGCATGGAAAGGTGGTAACTTTATAGTTTTACCACTTCAAGTTTTTAATACCTTTCTTGCTGCAATGTATTGCCAACCAATGTGAACCATAATAGCACCGAGAGAAAACAGGATGCAGGAGGGAAGGAAGAAAAGTAATATTCCTTAAAATTTGCAGCATCATGTTCTCTAAATTTTGAAATATTGAACAAAAAGCATTAACAAGTTTGTAAACCTTTAACACAAATCGAGGTCTATTTCCTCTGCTGGCCCCTGGGAAGGGTATGTGGCCCAGTGGTGAGGACCTGAGACTTGGCTGGAAAGGCAGGGCTCTGGGTCTTGTTCCATACTTTAAAGCTCAGTGAGCAAATCTGAGCAGATCAATTAAGTTCCCCATCTGGAACCGGATGAAAAAGCTTGCCAGATCCACCTCACATGATACCACAATTTCCTATGAAGATTGCTGTTCAATTAAGTAGCTATGATGAAGACCAACTGGCATAACTGCTTGGGTTTGGTGATCCTCCAGAAATGATTAATGCTATACTTATTTAATTAGTTGTTTTTTTCAGTTATTTGAAAAGCTCCTTTCAGGAGGATGTTGGAACACAATTACATGTGACACTTGGTTGAGAGCAGTGACTCCTAGGTCATGACCTGTCCACCTGCGTGTGCCCACAGCAGCATCGAGCAGGTCTGCGCAGAAAAGCCAAGACAGTGGGGAAAGGATCACCAAATGATCACTATTAGATTCTGTTTTCCTTAAGAAGGGGGAGGCTGGCCGGGCGCGGGTGGCTCACGTCTCTAATCCCAGCACTTTGGGAGCGGAGGCAGGCGGATTGCCTGAGGTCAGGAGTTCGAGACCAGTCTGGCCAACATGGTGAACCCCACCTCTACTAAAAATACAAAAAAATTAGCCAGGTGTGGCAGCGTGCTCCTGTAATCCCAGCTACTTGGGAGGCTAAAGCGGGAGAATCACTTGAACCCGGGAGACAGAGCTTGCAGTGAGCCAAGACCGCACCACTACACCCCAGCCTGGGTGACAGAGTGAGACTCTGTCTCCAAAAAAAAAAAAAAAAAAAAAGTTTGGGAGGGCGGGAGGCTATATTGCAATATAAAATATCATCAACATTTTCTGGGACCTAAAGTGACAAAGTCCAGAAGATTTTATGGACTATGTGTTGGTTTTGGACTGGCCAGGCTGGCGTGTATGTTATTTTGCGGCTACCTGGCAGATAAGAGAAATATCAAATCACACACGGTCTCCTGAAGCTCCAGCCAGAAGTGAACAAACAGATGCCACAAACCAGAGCACAATCCAAGCCAGGCCTGATTTGAAAGGGAACAGACTGTGCCTAAGGGGAAAAGGATCAGAAATATTAGGTGCCAGCAGCGATGCCCCCATACATGTGTTCTGTCATTTACCTCCCAAAAAGACTTTTACAGAAGAGAAAATGGGGCATGGAGAGCTTCAGGGACCTGTGTAAATGCCACACAGCTAAGTAGAGACGAGCTTGGCCTTGACTCCAGGCAGCTGGACTCCACAGTCTGTGCTCTGTTTGTAAATTTATTTATTTATTTATTTATTTATTTATTTTATTTTTTTATTTTTTTTTTTTTTTGAGAAGGAGTCTTACTCTTGTTGCCCAGGCTGGAGTGCAATAGTGCGATCTCGGCTCACCGCAATCTCCGCCTCCCAGGTTCAAGTGATTCTCCTGCCTCAGCCTCCCAAGTAGCTGGGATTATAGGCATGTGCCACCACACCTGGCTTAATTTGTATTTTAGTAGAGACAGGGTTTCTCCATGTTGGTCAGGCTGGTCTCAAACTCCCAACCTCAGGTGATCTGCCTGCCCTGGCCTCCCAAAGTGCTGGGATTACAGGTGTGAGCCACTGCACCCAGCCATAAATTTATTTTTTTTAATTGACAGATACAAACTATATATTTATGGTGTACGACATAATGTGTTTCTTTTTTTTGTCCTCATCGACTGTTCTAAGAATAACATGATGTTTTGATATACAGTATGCGTACACTGTGGAATGGCTACATTGAACTAAGTAACATATGCATTGCCTCACCTACTTACCAGTTATTTGTGGTGAGAACACTTAAAACTACTCTCTTAGAAGTGCTCAAGAATACAAGACACTGTGTCTGGCTGTGGTCACCATACTGTACAATAGATCTCTTGAAGTTTCTCCTCCTAACTGAAATTGTGTATCCCTGACCAAGCTCTTCCCAGTCTTTCCCCTGCCCCGGCCTCTGGTAAGCACCATCCCACTCTCTGCTTCTGTGGGTTGGACATTTTTAGGCTCTCTATAGAAGTGAGATCATAAAGTAGCTGTCTTTTGGCACCCAGCTTATTTCACTTCGTGTAATGTCCTCCAGGTTCATCTATGCTGTTGCAAATGACAGGATTTCCTTGTTTCCTAAGGCTGAATAGTATTCAGTGGTGTATTCATAACACATTTTCTTCACCTGTCGATGGACACGGAGGTTGATTCCATATTCTGGCTGTTGCGAATAGTGCTGTGATGAACATGGGTACAGATAGAGGAGTCTGCACTCCTTACCATCGCTCATTTCTATCTCTCTAGCTACTGTGGACAGCGCCAACTATGTACCAGGCCTGGAATGCAACATTATTTATATCCGTTACTCCTGCCAATCCTGATATTATTCGTCAGATTGTACCAGTGAGGACCATGAATCTTCCCATGAGGACAATGAAGATGTAGAATGTATTGCAGTCTCCTAAGCAGTACTCAAAGTTTGAACCTTAGCATGCCTGACCCCAGAGCCTATGTTCTTCAGCATTACCTTATGAAATTCTCGGGAGACCTAGCACAACTCTGAATTTAAGAAATATTAACTCAGCACCTACTCTGCATAAGATACATGAAACTCAACCCTCTCTCTTGCTGGCTTGTAGTCAGTCGTTAGTGATATTTGAGAGCGGTAGGTCATCCGGAGAGACTGGACGCGAAGCAATCACAGCCTACGAGCTGTCTCTATGAAGATTAGAAAAGAGGCACTTCTTTCTCAAGACATGTTATTTCTATCTCTTGGGATGCTGTCGTACTACACCATTTTGTTAGAATAAGATCTCCTACTACCATCTGCTAGAGAACTGTTGTAAAGCACATGCGAGTCTGTGGAAGCTGTGATGGGCATGGTGCCTGCAAGGATGTGCACCGAACTACACAACCTAAGTGGGTGGCCTGGCTATGCTCACCAAAGGGCATCTTGCTCTCCTTCTGCATTTTTCCCAGGCTGGATTCCATTTGCATTTTGTGTTCTAGGACACACAGAAGCAGTTTTGTTGTCAGGATGCAATGGCAGTGATCAGAAATGATCACCCCTTCCATGAGAAAAAGCATGAGAATCTAAAAATATGCAGACTTCCTACCTTACTCTAATGCTGAAAGAGAGTAATTTGAAGTCACCACATGTCTACTTTTTTTCAAACAGGTTTTCACTTTGCCTCCCAGGCTGGCGTGCAGTGGTGCGATCTTAGCTCACTTCATCCTCGACCTCCCAGGCTCAAGCGATCCTACCACCTCCGCCTGCCAAGAAGCTGGGACTATAGTTAAGACTATTTTTTTTCCAGTCAGGCGCAGTGGCTCACTCCTGTAATCCCAGCACTTTGGGAGGCCAAGGCAGGTGGATCACCTGAGGTCAGGAGTTCAAGACCTGCCTGAACAACATGGTGAAACCCCGTCTCTACTAAATACACACACACACACACACACACACACACACACAC